ATGCCCATTATGTTTATTGTAAAACTTTTTTATGGCTGGTCACACTGGAACATAGACTTATCTTTGCTCATGTTTCCCACTGCCATTGAGGTTGACAGTGGTAAAAATGCAAAACTGTTTAATACCAGACAAAATCTGTTCATTTCTTTATGTAGTGCCTGTCTCTCCCTTCTCTCCCCATCATATTGCAGAAGGGGCAGTGAATATTAGTTGACTGGGTGTGCAGATTCTTTGAGTGCTTGAGGCTGCGGTGTCAGGAGAATGAGTTGGGACTGAAGTTGAGTGAGTCCTTTGGACAGGAAATACTTGGAGACTGTCTGGTACCTCTGTCTTAAACCTGCCTGACTTTAGAATCTGCACTGCTATCATTTAGTTGTGCCTTTAAAATGTGTTGTTGCTGGACACTCCAAATTGCTTGAGAGTAGTTAATTTTGGGGCTCAGGAGAAGATATTTTGGTGTTGTTGAATCCTTAATTTCTACTACTAATTAGTAGAGGATTTTGAACTGTAGGTAAAGAAAACTTTCCTTGTGTGGAATCTGGTATACAAACAGATTTTTCTCCTTAGAAACTTCAATTACTACAGCCTACAAATGGAATAGCTTCCTTTAGTGCTGTGAGCAGATGACGCCTCATGTAGCTTTCTTTATTCGAAGACTTTGATACTACACTGAAAGCTCCTCTTTGCCCATTTGTACTTTAAAAGTTGTATCTGAAGCCTTGGCAGGCTCTAAGTCACTTCTACTTAAGTGGTGTGCATTAGTGACTAACCTGAGTAGTGATTTAGGCATCTTGCCAGTATTTTCCCCCTTCTTGCCCTCCATTTTGAACAGTATATGGTCACTTGAAAGTGGTATGCAAAATAAGACTGTTCATACACAACTGAAATGAAAGCTGTTATTAGAGGCTAAAACCATGCACCATCTGTAACCCATTACAATAATGACTGTGCCAGTCTTACCCAGTCAAGAAAGCATTATTACAGAGATGCCTCTTCAGTACAGTGTGCTTGCCAGGGCCTGTTCATACAGATTCTCTGACTTTGAACAGAGGTTTCTGTGCAAATTTCTCAGAAATGAGAAAAGATGTTAGTCTTGCATGAGCAAGTTCCACACTTACATGTATGCTAGTCTCAGTGTGACTTGGCATGGGAAGCTGTTCAGGTTGCAGTCTAATTTTTTTCCTGAAGCAACCTGTGTAAAACATTGCTGAACTTTGGCTAGTGATAACTCAGTGGTAGAGAATCTCGAGCCTTACACTACTGTATGCTTTGGTGTATTAAGAATGAGCTTTTTTCAGAGGACATTGTATTGCTGAATACCTTTCCTTATTTTTTCTTTTCCTCTACAGCCCTGAAATTTGGGGAAGGTGCGATGTTGACTACTTTGCCTAAAAATCAGGCCATGCTTTGATACAAGCTCCCATTTAGACAACTGTTACTCAGTTTGGTCATAAACAGACTTCCTGGGAATAATCCCCTCTCTTCAGGAAGCAACAGATGACTGAAACAGGAAGCTACTACAGTTTGACTCCTGAGTAAATGTGCCTCATTACGCTTATGAACTGGTGTAGATTTCTTATACAGACAATAGCTTATTCTTGCTCTACTTGGACTTCTCTGAACTCTGTCAAAAGCAGTCTGCTTACAATTTCTTTGTTGGAAGGCAATCTGTAGAAGAAATGGAATTCAAAAACCCAATCCATACTCAAAGTTAAATTTAACTGTCACACTGATGTGCTGGAGTTAAACTTGGTTAAACTGGCACAGCTTCCATATGTGAACAGTGGTTAAAATTGACGCCCAGCTCCAGGACGGAAGCTAGAAATGAGTGTGATCAATATGAAAAGCACAGCTGCCTTGCTAATGCACAAGTTGTACTAAAGCTGATTTTTTTCTTCTTGCACTCCCCTTCCCCATAGCACGTGTGATTTAAGTAATCCACTTCCATATGTGGAGGGATATAAGGTGGTAGTCTTGACTTTGAAATTGCTCAGATCAGTTACCTCTATACCAGCTTCTTTTCCCTATTTAAAAAAAGGGTGCAAGTATTATACCCATTACTTGATTTTATGCTTGGTACAAGTGTTAAAGTACAAGTAGTTTGCATATACTCTATACGCTTTCAGGTCTCAAAAGTAATCACGTAAGATACAGGTCATGTAGGTGGTAGAGACAAAAAGTCAGTTTTATAATTCAACTAGTTAAGCAATACAACTTTAAATGAAAACAATTTTTTAGATTTACAGTACGATTTGTCAAGTTTAAATAAGTAAATAGTTGTATTAATTACAACAGTTACTGCAAAGCTGTGTGGGTCATATGCAAGCTGCTTGAACTAGATAAATTGTTGAAATTCATGTTGATATAAGAATCCTGTGATAGATTCCCTACTAGGATTTGCTGGTTAATGGAGGTTTTCAGCATTGCCTATATTAAAGCAAGTTTTTTTGTTTTTTTTTGTGAGGGAGGAACAAGTCTTGAAGTGGCTTCTAATATTTCCATCCCCTCTTAAATGAGTGATGAAAGACTTGAGCGAGCTGCCTGATGATAGCATTCTCACAGTCTGTGCTCCGGAAGGTGTCTGTCTGGGCAGCTGTCCTGGCACAACAAATGACCCATTAGGGTCCCAAAAGTGGGGAGCTGCTGCAGCTTCCTGGCTGACCTTCCTGCTGGATAGTAGTAGGGTCAGTTGGTATTTGGGCATGTTTCCCATCGCAGTCTTCCAGGGTTGACCTTGACTGTCTCTGCACCAGAACAGCCATTCATGGGCTTGACAATGGGATTTAGAAAGGGAAATTAATTCTTAAAATTGGTGATAGCTGAGATAGACTCCTCCTCTTGAAGGGCCTTAGGAAGAGAGATATGTGGCCCTCCAAACTGCATTTTCTCTGTTACAGTGCGTGCGTTGTAAAGTAGTCCTTGCAGTGCGTGTGCTCTTTAGAATGGTGTGCACAGGCCAGGAGGCAATGCTGTCCTTCTCAAAGTGGAGTCACCAATAAAATGATGGTATTAATGCCTTTGGAGAAGAGGAGGTGAAAAACTGATAAATCTGTAGTTATTTCCTACTGCTGGGGGAAAAAATGTGTGTCTATTTTGATGCATAGATCTTTCTGCAGCAGAAGCAAAACAATGTGCATCAGCTAGGTGTGCCTTTATGTAGGGGTTGCTCAAGCACTCTTTTCTTCCTTATAGGATTTTATAATGCTTTTTATCACATCTATATCTCTATATAGACTAGTTTAAATTTCTGAAGTTCTGTTCTGGAGAGTATTTTAGTCCCTAGATGCTGGGCTCTTACTTTGAAGTAGGGCCTAAAAAGAGAGGAAATGTCTTGTTATTCATACTTCAGTTTGAAATCCCTGATCTTCAGCTGCTTAAATCTCATCCTTCAACCAATTCAGTTGCAGTTTAACTAAGCAATGGCTTCAATAAATCGGGTAAATACCCCTAAATCAAATTGCACTTGCATTCTTCTAAGACTTTATAAAGTGCTACAGATGCTTCTCTAAGTCCCTGCCTTAAGGAGCATATACTCTAGGCTACAGTTTGCTAGAAACTGAACAACTAGCAGTGTCAGAAGACAACAAAAATTTCTGAGCAAGGCTTTTACAGTGCTGAGCTGGTTATCTGGGAATAAAGCTGTTGAAGAGAAGTCCGTGAATTCTGAGTTGGAAGGAGGAGAAACAATCTCTAAGCTTTAGATGGAGTGACTGTTCTTCAGATACCCCACTAATTAGGATGAGAGAAGTAACCCAGTTCTAAGAGTGACTGAAGCTGAATGTTTTCCAGATAGGGTCATGTTAGAATATGTCCGGTGGTTGTCAGCCTAATGGGGAATGGCACTGGTACATGTTTTCTCTTCTCTTTGCTTTTGCTTATTATTTTGTTGAAGCTTGTTAGTCCTTGAGCTAAAGAGATGGCACTGTCTTGCAGGACTGTAATGCCTTACCTGCAGTAAGGATATCAGTTGGCAGTTGTCAAACTCTGCCATGCATATCTTTGCTACGTTGGAGCTATGACATCTGGCAGATAAACTTTGAAACCAAGGAATGGGTAGAGGTGTGTGTATGTACCCATGTATATGGTCACCATAAATCTAGCTTCAGTCAGGGGCAATACACAGATATCTCATCCTTAGCATGTTACAGCACTGCTGTCTGACCAGTTTTCAACCCGGAATAGGACCTTCACTGGCAGTCTCACCACTTGATGTGGTATCTACTTATTTATAGCTAGCAGGCTTAAACTGAAATGGTTACCTCAAAACACTTCCTAGCTGTTATTACTCAAACAAAAATATTCAGGCTGCTGCTTGCATGCCAACTGTTATGGGTGGTCTGTGAGCAATGACTAATCAAATCATCTGCAAACATGTCTCCTTGTTCCCTGAAGGGAGGTGGTTGCTGAATCTCGGTGCTGGACAGCACCTCAGTCGGCTGTCCAATGTTACTGAGGTGGAGCTTGACCTGAGCTTTGGAGCAATACTCCTGGTTCAGTTTTCCAAAACATTAAACAAGTCCAATTATTTAAAGCATGGTCTAGGTTCAAGGGTAAGCAATGGAGGCACAAAACGAGCTGTTCTAACCTGACTGAGGGCAAACAGAAATCCAGTATGTTCTGTAGCCACCTGCAGAGACAGATGAATGAGTGGAGAGCTAAATGAGTTAGGGGTGTTGAAATGCAGAAGATGAATTTGATGGAAAAGAAGAGTTGAGAGAAAAAGGAAGTGGTCCTGGATGTGCTTGCTTAAAAAGTAGTTAGAGAAGCCGATTATGAATGGAAGGTTTTCTGGATAGAAGTTTGCTCTTTATTGAGCAAACTGAGATGACCAGCTGCTGGTGTGGTGAGAGCCCTGGAATAATCTGTCAAATTAATGACATGTTGAGTTACTCAGAGTTCCTCAGCATGTGAAGAAAAATCCTAGAAAGACTTAAGGCTTGACGGAGATCCCAGTCATTCACAGGTGAAAGTTTAAGCTTCAGAAACCCAGCTTCCTACTGATGGCTGTATTGCAGTCAGTTATACTTGCTGCTGATAGGTAACTACTGCATGTAGTTTAAACAGCCTTCTGATTTGAGACCTGTTACTCCATTCTAAAATTTGGATGCTTATGGGCTGATTTTACTATATACTTAAAATTAAATTGAGAGCTATTTTAATTGTCATAACAGAGCCTGTTCAGTTAAATGATTTTAGTCTGTCTTAGCCTGCAAAACTTTTGAAGAAGGATAGTAGGTTAGAAAACTGGCATGAGAAGAGGAGTTAAATCTATCTTTTGAAATAATTAAATAGGCTCCTAATTCCTTCTCTTCCTCTCCTTTCTTACATACGGAAAGGTTTTAGTGAGCTCTAAGAGCTTTAGTGAAATTGGAAGTTACACACCCATTCCAGAGTGTCTCTTGTCTGACTTGACCACTTTAATAGCTTAATAGTGAACATCTATTACAGTTAATTCAGTGACGCAACTAATGTATATGTGTCTGTCTTTTTTTTAGTGGTCACAGGAGCTACTGACGGAATTGGAAAAGCCTATGCAGAAGAGGTAAGAATTCTTATCACTTGGGACTGTACCTGGATCCTTGGCAAGATGACATGCTGTCTTATCTCAAAGCATCAGGCCATATCCTCTTGCCTTATCTTCACATAGATATAGGTGAAGAATGAGATTTCTTGCCTTGTCTTCCTGCAGGTAATCAGCCAAGAGCTTATTCTTTTTTCTTTGTTTCCCTTATTTGACTTCTCTTCAGCTTTTACCTAGTCCTTTTTAGTTTTAACTTTTTTAAAAAATTATTTTTCCTTTCCCAACCCTTAGGGTTTCCTTTTAGAATTATACCCTGTAGCCTATGAACTTTCTAAAGCCTGGGTTTTGCACTTCTTACTGTTGTTTTGCTCTTTATGGATGTGTGGGCTCCAAATGTGGCACTGGAATGCCTTGCTTAAGACAGAAAAGGTCTGTTAGTATGGGATGCTTTAGCCTACAAGCCCAGGAAACAACATGGCAAATAGTACTGACTACAGCAAAAATAACTTCCATCTGCAGCATTAGTATCAAAGTGATTATTGTCGTCATTTTTGTTCTCTGAAACACCAGTATGACTTTGTGTGAAGAGATTAGCTGTGATTCCTTTTTTTTTTTTTTTTTTTTTTTTTTTTTTAGAATTGCTGTTTCTGCAGAGACCACAGGGAGATTAGCCTCTTAAGTGTTGGCTTTGCCCTTTGGATTTCCCCTATATCCATGCAGGGACCTCCCTCTACCCCTTGTGCTATGTAGAAAACAGCACCTTTTGCCACTGAATCAGTGTAAGGAGGGTGGCAGTGGAGGGTAAGTAAGCCTGATGTCAAGAGCACCTGGTTCTTGCGTGGAGCTGACAGCTTATATGTGTCACATATATCCCAGTTACATGGTACTGAAGTAAATTATGCAACGCTTAAGTAACTGCCTAGAGCAAGTAAAATAAGGTCACTGTGCCCAGGGCATAGTACTGTTGAGAGGAAGTTCTCTACTGTAGGAGACACCCCCTCAACATCATGGGAGATTAGTTTCCCTAAAGATCAAGAAGACTTCTGGTGTGTGAGGACGTGTGGGTTTTTGGTGTGTGGATGTGGTTTTTCCTCTTTGCCTGAACCTACTGTGTAATGTAACCTAGACTTTGTGTTAGATTGTGTGAGCCAAACCACAGCTTGCTTTGTATTGCAGGTGTCTCTGAGAAACAAGCTGCCTTAGAACATGAATATGTGCTGCTGGCAGACCTCTGTATACCCCTATTAGAAAAGCTGATCATAAGTGTAAGGTCCTGCTGAGGAAACAGACTCATTCAGCTTCTCTGCCAGTAGCTGCTGTAGACACCAAGAAATAAGCATGCCAAAGGGTACCAATACTCATTCTCAAGCTATAAAATAAAAACCATTTTACCCCTTGACAGTTTAGTTGGATGAAGAGCTCGAAGTCAAGTGTGAATGCAGGGTCATGGAATAACTGAAAAGACTTAAAAATCTTTCAGTTAATTCTAGGGATGTCTTCATAAGACTGCCAACAATCTCGACTTCAGTGGGATTCTCTTCAGCGTAGTATAAATGCCACTGACATACAGCTGCTTGGGCACTCATGGCTGTGATTATAATCATGCAGATTACCTTCTTTTTTAAAGAGTTTAAGTGAGAAATACAGTCTCCTCTTCAAAAGTTTGACATGGTCACTGATAAGTGACAGAAGAATGTTACTTGTTTGTGGATTCCCTGGTAATAGTCTGCTGTAATGGGTTACCTTTTTTGACCGGGTTTAAATTTGTGCGCTCCGTACTTAAATTCCTCTTGCAGATTTATTTCCATTTCCAGACTTCAGATGTGCTTCCCAGGGTGCATCCTTTCAGTGTGAATGTAGCATCACTTTTTCCCAAGGTCCCTCCTGTGGTTAAGGCTCTCTAAATATGGGTGAGGGTACACTAAGTGCATGCGTTGGCATGGCTTATTTCCTTTGTTCTTGAGACAACGCGTAGTTGGATACTATGCTTGTAAAGGTGAAGTACTCACTTAAACAATCTGAGACTCCACAGCTTCTGACTGCTGAAAGAAAACAAAATGCAGGTCAGCAGTTATAATGTTTACTCCAAGGAGCATCTCTGAGGCTTTTCGGCCTCCTGGGGCCTCCCATGCCCGTCAGTCATATGCAGTGAAGACTGATCACTTAGTCCTGTTGGTGCAACATCTCCTTTTTCAGTAGGCAGACTGTCTCTGGGACTTGGAGGTGTATCATTTTCTTGGCAGTCTTTTCTACCAGAATTGCTGAATATACTAGTGGGATCATCTGAGATATTTCAGACTTGTGAGGAGATTATTGTCAGGTTGTCCTTGATGTTACAAATAGATACTTTTAGGTAAATTTTCTGCTTTAGCCTTCTTGATCCCATGAAATGGGAGA